AAAATATCTCCCATTTTGGACTTGAAAATATAATACCAACTTATATACGAATAGTGCACTGAAGATTCGGTAGACAGTGATAACAGAATTCTTTAACATACTGTACTTTTCGTATATATTATCATAGAAACATTTGACATGTGGATGGAAACTAATATAAAAAGTCCAATTCACCGATTTTAGTCAGAAAAATAAATTTATGTTCATATTATCATTTGCTTTTCTTGTTCTAAACGTAAATATTATTAACTACACTCTTGTGGGATTAAAGTCTCAAATAATTAAGTCAATAAAAAAAAAAACCTTTAATGGCTCAATGACGGAAAGTGAGGGCAGAAGAACTGCACGATCTTCCATTTTGGAACGTCTATTTTTCTGGGCACAGTACGAATACAACAGCTGATCGGAAATTGACTGAATCTCTGAAAAAATTCGGGGTACATATAAAAATGTGACATGCAAGAATAAAGCATATTATTTCTCGAACCATATATAAATCTAAAGTATTTTTTTTCACTCTAAAAGATTTTATTCATTTTTATTTGAGCTGAATGAAAAGTATGCTTAAAAGCCTATTCACTCCAGCAAAAATAAACGACAGAATTTATTACAATAAGCATATCCTTATAGATGCTGGAAAAAATACTGGAAAAGTTTTGTCCATTTAAAATCTCGTAATTACCAACTATTGTTATGTTCTACAAACGTCACGATTGCTTTACTAATTAATTCTTAGTAGCACATAACTACCACAGCAAATAAGAAAAACGATAATCTTGATAACAAATTACTTGGTGGTGGAACAAAACTGTTTACCAAATTGTTGAGATACATATTCAAATAATGTATAACTTCACGACACCAAACCGTGGCATCAATAGCACTATAATCATTTTCATCAAATGGTACCTCTGCTGTGTTTAGTTCATTTGCATACATATCCACTAATGAATATGCTATTGTATAAGCCGCTGAAGGTGGAAATCCTCTAAAAAATAATTGCAATATCATTAATCAAAAATTGCTTCACAGCATACAGCAATTGCAACAGTTTTTTATGGATCGAGAAATAAAAGCACTTTTTTTCAATTAAGAATTCAACATGTCATCTTTGGAAAGAAAGAATTTTGAATAAATTGACCTACATGGACCGGAAAAGGGCTGAATAATGCTGCAGAAATTTGAAAAAAATATGAACCTTTGATGCAAGTGTTCAACAATCAATGCTACTGCATCACCACGTGCATCATGCTTTGTGGTTTGTAAGTAAGGTGAACGAAACCTAATAGTGATTTCGTTATCCGGATCAGGCGAATATTTTAAATAATTTTTCACTAATGATATCAGTAATTCATCGCCGCTTGATTGCAATTCTTTCAGCCCTACTTTACATCCACCATCCATCCTTAAATTTCCTAAATCAACGACAAATGCATAATGTTTTTACATGCTTATACAAGTTATTACACGTGCATCGACCTCGCTTATATCTACCTTAATTTAAAACTTTGAATTTAAAATTTGAATATCAAACCATCACAACTCAGCACTGCTAGTCAAAACCACAATCCATACTCTTAGCATCAAACAATTATGACTAGAAAAAAAGTAGTCACAGTTCCTCCAACACTTTGTCATGTAACTTGGTATTCTAAAATAAATCCAAAATAACTGTATCAATCCACAAACGGCAATTTATAAGACAAGCTCTCTCCCAGAAGTTAACACTTCCTAAACATCAGTTTCTTTTTTTTTCTCCTTATTCTTAAATTGGCTAAATACTGATTCGAAATAACTCCTCGAATTCAATCAATTTTTGGTAAAAAGATATCATCATTTTGAGTCTATGAATAGACTTCAAATGTATATAAAAAATGAAAATATTTGCCAAAATTTACTAAATATAATTAAAAAAATGCATTAACATCAACGGTTCGTATCGAATGCATGAATTCAACAACAAATGAATTAAAAGATGTCCAAACACACACAAAAAAAAAAAACAAAATATGTTATGGAGTTCCAGCTCAGCAGTTACTTTGAACGATTTCATAAGTAACAGCCATCTCCTGATGATTTCTTCATTTTGAAACAAATGACTTGATGTCCGTCAATAATTTAACATATTGCGAATGCTCATAGTGTGTTGCGAAATCCACCACTTCACGGCAAAATTTCTGATCGAAGCCACGTTCCGCCAAATAGTGATTGAACAAAAGATCATGCAAAGTCTGAAATTTTGATTACCTAGTTAATTAGATTTCCGACCTTCTCTTTATTCCATTATTTCAAGGTAGCATTTTTTTCCTTAATAACAGATGCACTGATTATTCAAGCTAATCAAACACTGGAAAATTGAGTGAAAATGTATACTGGATCAATATATTTGCCAGATGATGAGTATACTGATTCAGGTACGTCTTCATCTTCCGTTCCTTTAGATGCTGGAGCAATGTAAAATTCTGCTACGCGGAAATCAACTGCAATTAAAACACTGAATGCATCAGGGAAAACTTTTTTTATTAACTTAATTCCTTTTCGTAGGTTGCTGCGTTTGCATCGGCTAAGAGTAATCAAACTTAAATATTACTTACACCGTTCATCTGCTTCCGCTGCTTCTTCATTTTCGCATAGATCAAGGTAAAAGCATAATCGTTGTTGTGCCTTGATGATTTCTATAGTAAGTGAAGGTAGGGCGAGTGGAACTCCTTCATCCTACAAATAATCATAAATAAGAGCAAATGAGAAGTAAGATAAATGAAAGGGCATAAAATTAATGTGCAAGTGTTAGATTGACTACTTACAAAAGAAAACCACAAATTCTAGACAGGAATGAACAAAAAAAAAAAAACGGAAAATCAAAACAGACCTCATCTTCTCCGCCGTCCATATCTACTGAATGGTTGACATTAAAGTATACATTAATTCTAAAAAATTTACATATGAAACATATCTTATAATAATTTCAATGATAATGTCAAACCCTTAAGGTTACGATAGTTATTAAGGAAACCTGATGTTTTTCTATGCCAACTCTCTTACTGCATTTTTGCATATATATTTAATGACTGAATGACTTGAATTTAGCTCGTTAACATATGACACAACATTTGCGCTTGAACGCTATTCATACACTATTGCCGATTTTGACTACTAAATTGAAACCACCATATAAAATTAAAAAATCACTTTTCACTGCCGTGCAACTTTGCCAAATGTACATTGGCACCATCAGTTGTAATTTCGAAACCCGAGATTCTTGGAGCTTGCTCACCACGAAGATTTTCTTTCTCTAGTTGTTTCTCAGCGGTAATTTCATTCTTTAGCGCATCAATTAATTCATTACTTAATGCTAAAACAAAGAAGCAACTGAAACTGCAATATAATTTTTCTGACAGTCAGAAAATTAGCGTTATTCCACAGGATTCTCATATCCTAGAAAAAAAGAAAAAAAAAACACACACACACACACGTACATAATTTCGATGGATCTTTAGGAAAGTGTACATATGGGCGGCAGCAATTCTTTATGAATAGAGTTGTTCAGATACAACAACATTGCTCACTGTTAGTCTTAGGCAATCTCAAATAGCAGTTTTCGCATGCGATTCAAGATAAAAGTGCCGAACAGTAGCAGAAAAGGCTTGGGTTCTAAGTAACAGTTTATCGCTGTTGTCGGCTAAAAAACTGACAAATTCCGAAATAGTTTATACTTCCAAATGCTGTATCAATCCTTTTGATAATTTGTGAAAACATACGTCGGGTGGACGACATCTGTCGAGCCATCAAAACTGGTTGTGACATTCTTATTCCAGAACAAACAACTGCTGTTGAAACATGCCTCTGCAGAGCTTTTGATAATGCGCGACATACTGCAGTTGACCGCATCTTGACTACCTTCAATATAAAAGAAAATCTAATAAGATTAAAATAAAGCATCACGACAAACGATTGTGAAGAAACCAACATTAAAAAAAAACCCCCGAGAAAAAAAGGGATTTACCGTACTTCACATTATCATCACACCACGGCGTAAAGGGCTCAAATAACAATTTAAAAAAAAAGTAGGGAGTTTAAATAATAAGTTAAAGAAGAGCAAGGAACATCATAAGAAAAGAAACTTTTATAAATATCTAGCTTATCCATTAGACTTATTCGATCTCTTTCTAATAAATAACACTTCACTAAGAAATATAATGAATATTAGCTATTGATACTCTCATTTAGTACAGTTAAAAGTTCAAAATAGCAATAATAACCATTGCCACATCTATTACAATCAATTTCTCATCGATAGTAGCACCTAGCGAACCCAATTCTTAAATCCTCAATACCCATAAGAAGTGAACGTTGCACAAAGATATGTAATAGCTGCACAGCGCATCTTATATGCTTTATGTATACCACTATGCAACATTTTGCCTCCTGCAACTGCTGCAAAAATATGAAGTGAGAAAAGGTTGAAAATGTTCAAGAATTATTAGATCTCATCAATTTAAATCTTATAAATTAATAACCATAATAAATTTCAGTGAAGTTTCTTCCAATCTAATAATAAGATGTGTTTTCTTAATTTAAATTAAAGCATCTTGAATTATCTTATCTCCTCTTTAACTACTTATAGAGAAACAACTAGCTATTATAATTAACTAAAATTTTGAAGCATCAGCTTTCAATAATATATAAAAGAGATTTGATTAGATTATTATATCATTGTACATTTTAGAATTGCTTTAAACAGTTATTTACTTCTGTTATCAGTTATATTTTTCTAACATAATATCAGGATAATTGTAATAATTTCAGGATTTGTTGGAAGTTGTATGATCTAAATATTTTGCATAACTACATAGGAAATCATTACTAACTTAAATAAAGTATAATAGTATATATTCATGATAATGAGGTGCTCCTCGTCAAAAAGAACAAAAAAGATATTTTTGCTTATTCGAATCAGTGATTTAATTTGAATATTACATTACGAATAAATAACTGTGATGATGTCTGAATTAGCAATAAAATTTGCAGCCAGTACATTACTAATGTGGATTTTTATAACTATTACTGGTTTACTCAAAATATTAATTATTTTCACTTATTTGATTATATTATGCAAAGGCAAAAAAGCGGTAAAATTTTCCTCCATCAATTTTTCAAAAAAAAAAAAAAAATTTTTTTCTCTTTTTTTGATGAAGAGATTTTACAAGTTGAAAAATTCATCCGAAAAAAAAATGGAAATTTAGATTTAATTGCTGTAAGAATTAGTTTATGCTATAAAACCAAAAAAAAAAAAGAAAAATCAACTCAAAAGCTTTGGCCTTTCTTTTTTTTTTTTTTTTTTGAAGAAAATGAAGAACCAAGTATGTACACCAAGTACGAAAGAAAAAGAAGAAATTCATTCCAAAAAGGTTAATTTTCGTATTAAAATGTAGCAAACGATTATTAAGTAAAAAATAAGAGATAATTTCGATTTTTTAAAAACAAAAAAGTTAATAATAATAATTAACAGTGATCTAAGATTGGAATAAGTATACACAAAAAACTATGTTTTGCTTAATTAATATATGTCAAAAGGATTAATCAATCTGCATCTTAGACATATTTAAAAAGAACAAAAAATTATTAATATAAACTTCTCTCTAAGATATTTGACAAATGCGCTAATTTCAATTTTTCATTATTGCTAGTTGAAATTTCACTTTAGTGGAAATAACTATGTAATGAATTTTAATGAAAAAATTAATTATTCAATTTCTATGAAACAATTCAGGAAAAGGAAGAAAAAAGTGGTTCGAAGAAATCAAAGAAATTAGAAAGTGGTAAAGAGCGCAAAAGCGGTGGAAAATTTAGCCCATCAAATGAAGGTGAAAAAAATGAACCAAATTTAGGAAGTGATGATACAAGAGATAAAGATAAATTGAGAAAAGATAATGAGAAAGAGGGAAAGAAGAGAAGGAAAAAGGAGAAAAAAGACGAAAAAGAGGAGGAAAAAAGTGGAAGAAAGAAAGAGAAAGAAATGAATGAAGCATCAGAGGTAATCAAATCACTTGTTATAGATATCAGTAAATATATCTCAGTGATTAGAGATTTGAAATTTTAAGCAAATATGTTGAAGAAATATTTGAAAAGGAAAAAAAGTACTTTTCAGAAGGAAGATGAAGGCAAAAAGAAGAGAGAAAAGGATGAGATGAAAGATAAATCATATGGAAGTAAGAAGAATGTATGCTTTCGCTTTTCTTTTTTCAATATTTCTAATTGACAAATTTAAAATTAATATACTGCTGGATTACATATACCATTGGTATTCCAAAAGTACAAAGTAGCTTTGCTCGAAGTGACATTTGCGCTTCAAATCATTTCTTGCATATTTCTTGTGAAAAAGCATTCATTTTAGCTCTAACTTTTTAGAAAAAAGAGCAAAGAGAAAGCGATAAGAAATCTGATGAAAAGGAGGGTAGAGAGAGTGAGGGCCATAAAGATAGTGCTGTTGGGAAAGAAAGTGAAAAGAGGGAAAGTTCAAAGAGGAAAGAAGAGGAGAAGGAGTCGGGACAAAAGAAAGAGGAAAGAGAAAAGGAGGACAAAGACGATGAAATTAAGAAAGATAAGGAGAAAGAGGGAGAGGAAAAAGAAGATAAAGGAGAGGATGAGAAGGGAGAAAGCGAAAAAAAAGAAGAAGGAGAAAAGAAGGAGGAGGAAGAGAAGAAAGAAGAGCAGAAAAAAGAGGAGGAAGGAAAGAAGGAAGAGGCGAAAAAGGAGGAGGAGAAGGAGGAGGAAAAGAAGGAAGAGCAGAAGAAAGAGGAGGAAGAACAGAAGGAGGAAGTAACCTATGACCCGAAAGAACTGAAATTCACATTAGCTGGTGGTTCAGTAAAGTTTACCACCAAGAATGGTACTGGTAAACGACAGGCACTTAAGGTTTCTCTTATCAAATTCATTCCTTGTATGATAGTTGGAAGAGATAAAATTAATTTCCATTAAATTTTACATTTATTTTTTTAAGAAAGAAAAATTATAATTGCGAAAATAGGAAGAAATAAGATATTTAAATATAGATTAAATGTTCGGATAACTTCCTATATCGAGTGAATCCAGTGTTTTCGTTTGTTGAGCCAGGCGCAGAACAAACTATCGAAGTGATAAGACAATCTGGTAATCCAAAAATTGATAAACTTGTGCTCATACATACACCGGTACGTTGAAATAACTTCAATTAGCATATACTAAAGTGAAATTGCAAAAGTTTTAAATTTGAAATATCAGAAGTGTTATTTTAATTTTACCAAAATATATGCTATTCTATTTTATTTCCTTTTATAATTTATTCTCTCAAAATGAGTTACATCCCAAAAATTAATTTATATTTTGAATTGAGTATAATAAAAATTTTCATTTTGTAGTAAGATAAAAATGAACAATAATTATGATTACTAATGGAAATATTTTATCAATTTTTATATATATCTAATCGATTTTATACAATAATACATATATTTTTATAGACTATTATTTATCACTTTTTTTTTCAATTTCATTTAATTTAGCAAAATTTGTTGATGGGATGAAATTTTTGAAAAAGGTTGAAAAAGAATTTCAGGCTGAAGTAGGCGAAATAGATGCTCCAGCATTATTCAAGAAACCAATTACTTATACAAATTTTATAATTCCATTGCTGGTAACATGAAAAGAATTGCAACATTAATTATAAATCTGAAAATATTTTCATACTATACAGTTTGTCAACTTTGTCCAAAATTATCATTGTGAATGAAATAAAAGTTTAGACAGATAGATATTCATTCTTTTATCTTTATTAGCTATTAATTTCTTATTATTATTATTCTCTCAGCTATAATCTAACCTACTTTTTCACTTCATAATAATACTTGCAATCTTATTTAAACAATATCTTTAAATATGTTAAATTTTAATTGTTTTGCATTGTTAGATGAAATTATCCAATTTTTCTTATTATCTCTCATATTTTTAGTTAAGAAAAGAAAAAAAAAGAAAGAAGCAATAGTATGAAAGGGATTAATTCGTAAATGTTTGAATAGAAAAATATTAGAATAAATTTAACTTTTTAAAATCTCAGAAAAAATTTGAAAAAAAAAAATTCTGTATTTGTTGACAATCTTTTTAAATTAGAAAAGACAATGGAATCTATGAAATTTAAAAAAAAAATTTAGGATTTCAAGAACTCATGATGATATGACCATTATACACGTTAGTGTTGCTAATATTACGTTTACAAGTGCATAGAGAACAAAGATTGATAAGAAGCGAAGAAATAACATTCGGCAGACATGCATACACTAGAAGAGACATCCATAGTGAGACAGAAAGAAGACACACGTGAAGTAGTAGGAGTAATTGCGTATTAATGCTGAGTTAGTGTTGTCTCTTTTTTTACGTGCTGGTTTTACGTGCGTACGTGATCTCCCATTAATTGATGGATAATATTTACTGAGGAGAAATTCAATTTATGCATTTTATATTATCTACTATTGCATCTAAAGTTTCACGTAAAAACGTGAACCAATTACGCGTTTTTTGTAACGTGATCTCTCGTCGTAGGTAATTCACTACTTATTCCCATCTTCAGTAATTACACTTTAGAGAGAGATATGGCTAATGAAAGTCCCAGGAATGTAACTGAGGATGAAATTATTTGTTCAAAGCTTGCTACTAAAGAATAGTAAGGTTTAAAATATTCTTTTTGTTCTTTCTTTAGAAAAGAAATGCAACTTTGCATTATTAACATTGTCTGTTAAATCAATTGTCAGTTTCTCATTACTATTGAAGTATGAAGTATTTAATAGCATGCTAAAAATTAACTTGAATTGAAAAAAAGAAGAGATCAATTGGTTTCTTTTAATATTAGGGAATGAATCATTTATTAGGATTAAGGTAATATTGCAGTTGGATTGAACATTACGAAAGAGAACTGAAAAATTTCGAAGAATTTGGAGATGAGGGTGAGATATGGTTTGGACACACTGCTGAAAATCGCTTGGTGAAGTACGTTAGCGGGAATGAACAGTTATCAAAATCATGCAAATTGATTGATTTTGGTTGTGGCAATGGTTCTTTATTGAGAGCACTGGTATGTATAACTAAAGTTATAGCTGAAGTATTGCATTTCAGAGTAACCAGGTAATAGTTCTGTACAAAAAAATGCAACTCAAGAAAATTGGAAAATGCATTACAAATAGAATTTCTTAAATTTTGACCATATGCGTTGCTCAAAATGCTTTAAGCTTGCCAAGCAAGTAAATTAATTTGTTTTAGTGTTTTATTATGAGAAAGAAAAAAACCACAACTTTTAGTTAACTTCTGTACAAGTGTAGCCAAAGCGAACTTCAATTAATTTATCATTTCCTTTGAGGAAGTTTGCACTGCTTTGCTAGACAGAGAGGAAGTATATATTATAGCTTGAGATAAATAGGCAAGATCAATAATGTCACCTCATCATTGAGGTGACATTTTTAAAATGATTCCAGCCGAAGTCTAATCACTTACATTTTTTTTCCTATCTCTCCTATTGTAAACTACGTGTCTACATTCTTTTCATTGAAAATGTTCTTTTCTGCTTCCTTTTCATCTTCACATATAATAAAAGTTTTTCATTTTCAGTGACAAAAAGGACAGTTGCAGTTTGCAGACTAATTGGCTTGCTTTATAATTATTAGACCTATAATTATTAAATTGTATTGAAAATTTTTACATACCTGATGATAGAGATGGATTTTGTGTCATCCATATTTTTTTTCACTTCAGCGACAAGAAGGCTATTCTCATTTGTGTGGTGTTGATTATTCCAAAGAGGCAATATCATTGGCCAGGAAACTTGCAGACAAAAAATACGCAGGAAGTATTCAAATTGATTTTCGGGTAATAATTGATTTTTATCCATAATATAATCAGTAACACATTTCTAGTTTTAAACGTGATAGTCATTTTTAGGTGGTCGATCTACTGAGCGAAGATATTAATTTGGGGAAATTCGACGCAGTGCTTGACAAAGGCACTTGGGATGCGCTATCACTCTCAGTCGATCGTGATTATCGTTTGAAAAAATACAAGGCAAATGTTTGCAGAACTCTGAGATCTTCTGGATTTTTCATCATTTGTTCATGTAATTTCTCGAGGTAGTGTCTTATTTATGGGAATTACTTAATACATAGAATTCATTAATCGCCATGAATCTTTTTGACAGACCTTAGTACAACTTTATCCTATTCTGGTAACTTTAGCAAATAAAGTTCGTTATTATAGAGCGTAAAGAGAAATTTGGATCTTTTAACTATATAGTTCAACAGTTTAAATTATTACCAACTTATACGACTTCATCTTTTTTTTCTTTTTTGAGTGAAGTATTTTCCACTGTAGAATAATCTACATTACAGGGATGAACTGAAAAAGCAATTTGTTGGTGAAGAGTTAGGTTTTCTCGAAGAAGTCCCATCTAAAAATATTTTTGAATTCGGTGGTCGAAAGGGTTCAACTACAACATGCATGGTATTTCAAAGACAGTAAATTCGACAAGAAAATATGGTTTCCTTTTATGCATCTATTTAGGTAAATATATCAGAACCAGCTTAATGACATATTTTCTTGCTAACAGAGTTTTTACTTTGATGTCAAAATGCTCTCGTAATTGTTTATCACACTAAATTTATCACAAAGAAGTGAAAGGTTTGAAGTATTACCAGTTTTGTGAAGTGTTACATTTAAACGCTTTGGTGGGTTTATCGCATCGTGTCATTAAATTAAAAAGGAAAAGAAAGAGTTTTCAATAAAGGCTGAAGTGGGTATAAGTGATAAGAGACTATTCAGGCAAGATGTGAAATGTCAGAAAAACTTAACAAAGATATTCAGTAAAAACCAGAATATGGAACTTTCTAAAGATTTTTTTGAAGCTTTTGTGGAATCTTGCAGATTCGATAATGTAAAAGAAACCAAGTGTTTATAAAAGATATTGCACATGTACGGTTGGCACTGAACATCTTTTGATGATATACCATGCTTCTTCATTGTTTAGTAAGTTCTATTTATATTTTAACTTTTTTTTTGTACCTATAAAGATGAACAGAGCGCTTAGCAGAATAAAAAATAAAAAAAAATAAATAAATTAGTCACTTGTCGGTAAACGGAAAATGATGCTCATTTTGAGAGGAACGAAAGATATGAAAGATTGGAATTATCTTAGTACCATCAAAAAATTCATTGATTGTCTTTCCAAGAACATAAGTTGAATGAATGCAAATATATTAACAAAAGTCAGAATAGGAAAATGGAAAATCACGGATTGGGAATATCAACTAAAATGTGGAAGTAAATTCAAAACAGCATAGATGCAATTGCAGTATCAAAACTTGGGATACGTGCGCTACTGACTGCGATCTGATAATCAACTACATTTGAGATCATACCAGAAACTCGAGAATTCTTCCGTTATTTTCAGACTATCCAATTTTATTTGTACCTAGAAAAATATGCAAAGATAATTTGGGAAACTACTTTTTAGACAACTACATTAGTACTTTTTAAAAAGACTTTGAACAATAATGAATCCCAAAAATATTTAGAGGCAAAAATTTTAAAGAATTTATTGGACAAACGAACCATCCCAAGAACTGGAGGTTTGCTAAAAGGCCCATAATTGATAGCGTCCTTTACAGTGAAGATAAGCATGTGATTCTCGATATCGCTAAAGTGCAGATCAAATTCGAATCTGAAGAATTTAATGTTAAGAAATACAATGATGAAATTTGATTTGATTCACTACGAATCCCACCATATATTATAATGGGGAGATGTCTCAGTGTTTTAAGGCAAATAAAATGAAGCTTTGCATCTCAAACAAGTCACTTTTCATTCGAAAATACTGCATCTATGCCAACTGCTGAAAACTGCGGGAAATAAATCCTTAGAAATGAATATCTGATCAGACTTACTGCACATTTCTCGAAGAGAATGATTTGAAAAAAAAAATGTGATTAATAGAAACTGACTCATTATCGAAAACCGGATCAAGAGATTTCTTAACAATTGCTGTTTTTCGTTTCTCACCGCCATACATATTGTCGGAAGGTGTTAGACGTACAGTTAGGTACGGATCTGCAGAACCTTGACTGTCAAGTGGATACAAGTCTCTGAAATATCATAGACATATGTATAGATGAAAGCTCAATGATTACAAATCTAATCGAGATGCATTAGGAACATGATTATATGTTCTTTTTTTTTTTAACGAATGTTCCAAGTAATTCGGGACACACCACATCAAAAAACTAATCAACAATCAATAAAAATATAACAAAAAGTGATATATAGAAATGGATTTATAACACATCTATTTTGTAATAAGTATTGTGAGTCAGTGCTACAGATTTCAAAGGTAATCTTTCCATGTGAGATTTGTTTATACTTATTTGTTAGAGAATTTATAACATAAAAACAGTTTATAACTATCTGAAACTGAATAATACGCACATTATACGTATGACCCGAACTATCAGCTTGTTTGTTTCTTTCAGATGTTGAAGACCAAACTGCAAGCGACCACTTTCACCAGTGCTAAAAAAAGATATGGAGAAAATAAAATATAGAAGTTTGTTGAAAAATTCAGAAAGTCAACATAAGTAATCGCTGTTTTCTAATATTGCTGAAATATATCTCAAAAAACCTACGGCTTTCCTTTGCTTTGCGTATGTTTTGTTAGAAACAGTTTTTCACCAAAAGTACGACGACGTCTATATGCACTTGTAGCTGAATCACTACTGTTTCTTCTTGTTTTCATCTTTTCGTTCATTGATAATTTCGAATCCAAAATTGATGTTTTACCCTCATTCAATGCATCATTCGATTTCACCTCATATTCTGCGAAATTTCTACTTCGCTCATTACTTTTATCAGCTGCTACTAATTTTCCAGCTCTTTCAATGAACACTTCTAAAAAATATAATCGAAATATATAATCATTTTTGAACAGACAATAACTTAATTTGAACTAAAAAGAATAAATCCCACTACAGTACTATTTATTGATCATTCGACTGAATTTTCTAAACTTTGTTGGAGTGCAAAAAGTAAAAACTGTATACAAAGCAAAGTGAAAACAGGAGGGAACTACGATTCAAGTAACGAAAATAATCATTTAAAAATTTGCCACATGTAACGTATCTTTGCACTGATAAAAGTTAGTAATTGTAAAAAATTCCTTCTCACATACACACATCAGATATAGGAAAAAATGGAATATGTTTTTAATTTAAATAAAATCTTACCATTACCATAAATTGCTTTTCCATTACCACCAGAAACAGAATTCCTTTTTTGTTGATCGGTAACCAAAGCCTATAAAAACAAATACAACAGGGTAATCCTAACCAGAAGTCTATATGTACCACAAATTTTTTTAATCCTCAAAAAACGAAAAGCTCAGTTCAAAATATCCATTAGATCGTATAACATATCTAAGAGAAGGATATTCGTTGAGTCTCTTCTAAGATAGTTTTAACTTAGAGAAGAATAATACCTTACATTTCAATATGTTATGGAAAATCTAATAACCAAAGGTACGTAACATAACAGAGCCATATATTTACATTTTCTATCCTAATTAATTTACCCTGATGCGCGCTGTGATGACCATTGGACTCTGATGAACTCCTTGTGTTAATGGGAAGGTTTGTTCAAATAATTCCAAATTCGGTTCTAGCAAAATTGTCTTCAGCGGCAAAACGAATTCACCCAGAGAACGTTTTGTTGTATGATCGATAGCCTTAAAAATAGGAAAGAACAATAAAGATTGAAGATATTTCGTATCGATTAGAACATCATAACAACTCTCTATGTATGGAAAACATATAATTTTGTGTTACTCTATTTTTCATAATTTTACCAAAGCACTTATTCTGAGAATTTCAGAGTATTTCTTCGCAACAATATCTTTCTTTAGTCACAGATTGGGAAAAGTACCATTTTAAAGTATTTGAAATGTTATTAGGTAGAATCATTAAATGGTGTCAAATATGTCATACCTCAAATTTCACTTCTTGCCTTTCGGGATGACGAACAAAAAACAGAATCTTGATCTGGAATAATGGATTAACAGTTCTTATTTTCGTCGGCGTTTGTTGGAAATCTTTTCCAACACTTACCATAATATACGGCGACGGTTCCAATTTTGCTTTTGGATACTAAAAAATTGAAATAAAAAACTTGAAAATAGCTTGTTACAACGAAAAGAGTAGATTCTCGAGGATGATTTGCTGGTCAAAGTGTTTGCCAGTTATTTAAACTGAAAGAAATTTGGACTACATATCTGATTTCTGCTCAGATCATCAACATAAGATGAAGTGCAACTAATATACATGCCTAGCTAACCAAATTTTGAGAAACTGTAGCGAATCAGCGCCAATAGCATTTCCTTATCAACTTAAAATGAAACTCAATTTACCGGCAAATCAGATACACTGTCAATAAAGATCATAAGCAATGCTGAATGTACTGGTTTATCAGTATTGAACCAATAGCTTCCAAATTCCTGATAAGTAAAGTCTGCAGGCGAACATGATAAATTCATCCAAGCAGCCTAAAAATATACTCGAAAAGCACAATTTTAGCAAAAATTAATACGTTATAATGTACCTGAAACAAATGAACATTTTATTTTAGCACTAACCGTGGATACTTATTTATGTAAAATCTAACAGAATGAGCCAATTTAATTAATGAATATGATGTGAGTTTTGTAAGGAAAGATCTACTTACTCATCCGACGATATTTTTTCATTATCGAACCCATCCTTAATGCATCATTCTTGTTCTAGGTGTGCTACAGGTATACTATTTTAGAAAAAAAGTTAGAAAAAAACAAAGGTAAAACTGAGTTTAGCTATTGCAACTTCATCTAACATTAGTTAACAATCTACTAAAATGTTTAGAAAGCTTATGCATAATTTCTGAAATAAATAATACCTGGATATGTATATCGCCATGCTTGCATGCATCTAATGGGAACCAGTCATCGAGACTTTTTTTTTCTTTGACATTAATTAGATCGATCGTCAATGTCCCTAATTCCTCATCACTACTCGCTTTATCATAATCAAATAATTCTATACGTAACTTCTGTCCATTAGCTTGATCAACAACAAATTCAAAATATTCATTCCAAACTGGATTCAAATTATTATCAATCGTTTTGGTTCTATAGAACTGGGAACCAACTGAAAATGTCCAGAGCAGATGAAAGAGATCCGATAAATTTAAATAAATATATCGATAAAAGTTATGAGACAATTGAATTGTAAGATAAGTGAACGGATTCTAAAAGGTTAGTTAAAAAATCTTTTTTTTTTTACCAGTCACTTCCAAAAATATGGACTTATAAAGCTAACATAGCATTATGTATAGCAATTACCCCAAAATCAAAAAAGCACATTTTCAAGTTATAAAAATTACAACGATTTGTTTACAATTAAGAAATGATACCATGTATTTGGCAATACGGATCACTTGCCATACTCTTTGTGAATTTTATATCTCTATTTTCCAGATTCCTAGCTTCCACAATTTTCAAACGAAGTACACCATCAGGCTCTGGCAAATGCAACTTCGTAATATCGAAATTTGGAGCCAATGGAACAACTATTTCATTCGGAAGCACACATAAAGCCGAAACCTAAAAAATTTTTTGTCTTCACAAAGATTTCACCAATTTTCTTCTGCAGCTGAGAGAAAAACGACAATGTTATGAGTAAAACAGAAAAAAAAAAAACTATGGGAATTTCATGGTAGAAGTGAACAAATGTTGAAATCATCTACCTGAGAATCGATTATTGCACGAACTGCATTTAACAAACCAGGCAATTCCACAAATTCACCCATGCCGGTTAGATTAAAATCGATTTTCTGAAATCTGAAAGAATCAAAATACAAATTAAAATGCAAAAATTTTTACGAAGGAAGTTGATACATGGATGCACCATTGCATCATTACAATTGCGTTATTACAATAACTTCAAAAACTTTGAAAAAAAAGAAAAACAATTTGCTCGTCTCAAATTTGTCGAACTCACCGGTTTTTCCAAAAAGAACCCGGAAATTCCGCCAACCATTGGCGGATATGGTAGTAATGGCTTCAAGATAGCTCTTAACTTTCCAGAAAACTGGAACAGATCATTTAATTATATCAAAATCACACAGCTAATAATGGTAATGAAGATTAATTGTTGCATTTTTTTAAACAGAATTTTTCTAACTGTTTTATTTTTCCACCATAGCAGAAAATGTAACCAAATATTTTTTCCAATGTGTTTCAATCTCAAAAACGGTATAAAATACTCACCTGAAGTTGATTTAGACCACCAGTAAAACCAGCAACACTAACATCAAAGTCAGCGTCTCCAGCATAAGCGATATCCATATCAACAATAATACGGTCTCGACCAACATTATGTGTATACACCTAACCAGAAAGAAAAGACAGAAATTAATTACTAATAAACATAAAACTTTCGAAACAATTGTCAAACATGTAAAATATGAGTTAATATAACGAAAGGTCTATAAGATCCGACAACAAGACTTTACCATAAATCTTTCGATGTCTCTCAAAAAAGCAGGTTATAATAAGAACAAATTTTTGTGAAAATTTAAAAGAACTTATGACTGCTACCTTAATGCCACCGACACGACACGGAATATCACCCATATCCATTTTCGTGAATTTGAATGACTTGAAGATAGCTGGCAACTGCGATTTAACCTCAGGTTCGATATATTCACGCATAAAATACTTGGAATATTCCGTAATGTAGGGCCAAAGTTGCAATATAACCTGAAGAAATGCAATTTTCCTCAGTAAACTTTGACAACATAAAATTAATAACAGTTAGCAGGAATCATACGGAGTTAACAAATATACATAAAGAATTAATGGAAAGCAGTATAGTTTACACACTACAAGCAACGCAACACTGTTTAACCGGAAACAAACTTTGTTAAGCCATTCCACTCGTTCAGTATCCGGAAATTGAACCCAAGCTGGAAGATCCTGAAGCTGTGCTAATATAACCTGCAAATGAACAAAAATATGCTTTGTAATTTTTAAACGATGCCACTACTGCCCAAATTTCATCTAATTTTTAAAAAAATATGAACTTATATTGAATAAACAAGCACCAAAAACCAACCTCTCGTTCTCTTAGAGCGGCTTGTCTCAAACCCAGCAGTCGTTTCTCGCGTTGTCGCCACATATATGATTTTAAACCATTCAAAGTAACAAGAATCAAAATCCATCCAAACGAAAACTGATAATATCCAAGCAGAAAACAAGACTACAAAAGTCAGATCTAGTTTTAAAAAAATAGATTTAAAAAGAAAAAAAAATTAATTCAACCATTTAATTAGTTAAATACCTTAAATATCTTGAAATGATAGAAATGAGCTAAAAAATTGTACACAGTATGATGACTAATAATAAATAACAAAAAAATGCTAGTGATTGTTTAATTTTATTCAGACATTAGATATCATTAAATATTTGACAGTTTGATGCTGGAGTTTTCATGCGACAAAAAACTGCATAAAAAATAGAGCCGAAATTTAAAACCATAATTTACAATTCAACTCGAAGCTGGAGAATCTAATGTTTTGCACTGACAATGCTTGTAGCACCTAAGTTTTATGTAATTCAGTTAAGAATCTCAAATTTTCCATATTTAATCAATCATTTACCTTTTTCACCAATAGTCTAACTTTGATTTAATTATATAATTCTCCTTAAAATTATTTAATAATTAAAAAACATAGGAATTCAAGCAAGATCCTTCGTGTAAAACAATGCATTCGAATCATTACCAGTTCACCAAGTAATATTAAATTCTTTTACATTAAAATTTTTATTAACATAAAAATTAATATTAAATGATTAGAAATGAGATATTTTATAAATTCTTATACATTACATATACTGAAGTAGAGAAAATATACCCCCAAAATGATAAAGCTGCCCATTACTGGTATCACATAATTTTGCCATGTCATTTTCACACTTTTGCATCAGCCTTTGAATCCTACAGTAATAGCAATCTAAGAAATAATTCCAATGCAATAATCTGAAATGAATGTATAAAAAGAACCAACCCATGTTAATTAATCGTTTACCCATTAACTTTAATTTCAATAAAAATCTTCTATTCTAATTAAGCAATTATGCTTCCAATCAATTATAACATTTTGATAACTATCATATACTTACGATAGCCATCTTCTAAAGAATTAAATTCTACCACTCCAATAAATACTGAAATTTCAATGAATCATACGAAGTGATTAGTCAGCAATTTTCCATTAATTAAATTCATCACTGTTTAGTACTTTTCGATATCTTCTCATGCCTTTTTATTATTATTTAGAGGAAAATTTTTATAAAAACTTTTACAAGAATAAACAGTGCAGTGCAGCGAATAATTCCAACCGAGAAAAAAAAAAGCATTAGAACAAAATTTGACTAATAATTAAAAAAGCCAATAATGTAAGAGCACGAGAATGTGTACATAACGAGCAGAATCGATGAGACTAATTTTAGTTGTCATCCCAATTAGCTAACTAACAACCAATAATTACACTTACACTCTTCTCTTACATGATGCATAACTGATGCAAACATAAGCTTATAAAAAATGCCAATTTCAGTGAATGAACATATATGTATTTCTTTTCCACCAAAATAATTAGAGAAAAAGTGCAACAATGAACTATAATAGCTTAAATCTTTTTGTTAGTCTCCTGTTCAACTTGAAAAACACAATTATCCCATGCAGCTGTTCTTTCACTGCTATATATCACTTTTCCGATGGACGGCTGTATAGTTGAATGCTTTTTTACACTTTCAAGACTACAAATTTAATATAAAAAAAAGCGGTCAAAAATCGTTTATTTGCCGTTGAAAAATCTTAACAAGATTTCAAATTATATTATAAATGTTTTGAAGTTTTACTAATTTATCTGAAAAACACCGCACAACGTGGAAATTCTTAAAAAGGTCAAAAAAAATTTGAATTAAAATAATGGAATTAAAAAAATAAACAATGGAAAATGATTACTGTATGATGACAGTATTAAATATGCATCTATAAGAAAATAGTCCGAAATTTATAAACAATCTGGTACCTCTAACTGAATCCTCATACAATCAATCAATCATATAATAGATTCATAAACGAGAAAAAACTTTGAAAAACTCTTTCTACTACAACGAATTCCTTCCATAGGTCAAAATCACTGTCAAACACTACCAATAACATACATTATTAAAGTGTAAAAAAAGAGTATCTATGAAATCAATTTAGCTTTCTTGGCCAACACCCCATTATCTGCTGCTAATTCCTGGCAAGCAAGTTCCATCTTGTAATTTTTGGTGACCATTTGTACCCAGTTTTGCTCCAAATCCTTCAGTTTTAATCCCGCTTCCATCTGACTTTTCCGCCTTCTCGAATGAATTTCCATTACTTCTTCTCGAAGCTGAAGATTTTCCTAATTTTAAATCATGAAATAAAGTGAAGTAAAAGAAAAGTGAAAAATAAAGTGAAGAAAGGCCCTACATAAAACTGTACGATTAAATTTATATATAGAAATTAGAGAAGAGCAAGTACATAAGTAAATAAACTAGTGAGCGAGATATGAGAGATGTAAAAGACTAATAATCCATGCAAGCAAATTACTGAACAATTTTCAGAGCATTTAAAACATGAACAATAGCGCTAAAAACAAACGAGATTTATAAGAAACAAAAAAATGACATTTACAATCTCGGAAATGATTTAAGATTGATACCTTCCTTAGTTCTTTCTCTTCACAATGCAACATAGTCTCCAGTTCTTTATTGTATCGAAGATAAACAGGTGGCGCATGCTCATCCATCAGTTGCAAATTAATATTACGAAGTAATAAATGTTCATTCTGAGCAGCTGCATTACGAATAGCCTTAATCATTATTATCACTACCGATATTCAGAAGCATAAAGAAACTGAAATAAAGATTAAAATTCAATTAAAAATAGGACGAAATTTCGTTGAAAACATACTTTTCTCCACGAAGTTTTATCACCCTGTCGTCCTGTTGTTGAGGGACATGATAATTCATATCGTGACATATCTAATTTTGGCATTTCCTAAAAAATCCCATTGCAGATGTAAACGATAGAATTACTACTTTCAGAAATCTATAAAAGTTAGGGGGGAAGAAGCAAATGAAGAGTCCTTAATTTCTTAAACCTAAATTCTTTTTTCTTAAACAAATTCTTAAACAGACGCCTTTCTATGATCGATCTTTCTGTCACTACTCTATTTGCTACCTGCACAAAATAAAGCATTCTAATATCTTATAAAGCTTAGATAAGTCAACTCTTCAAACTTCCTCATTAAACTCTCAATGCCATCATAATTTTACAAGAAAACGAAAAATGTAACTTACTTGCTTTTTCGACATTCTAATGTGTTCTTTGATCAGACAAGGCGTTAAAAATACGTCAAAATCAGGAGGTGACATGCTTTGCAGATAATTTTTAACTGGACGAAAAACCCGACATTCGTCTTCGATCATCTGCATTGCCATCTGTCGATCGGATTCTGTATAATCCGAATCAAGATACGGTAGAGCATCCACTAAAACTGCTGCATCTTCCGATTTGCTTACTGTAGCCGTAATACACGGCACTACAGCCATGGATGTAGATTCCATTTCTGGAAATAGAAACGTAATTCTATAAGTCTCGACAAACAATACGTCTGTCGTAGAAACATCCTTCTACACAGCAATTCTGAAACTTAACCTGCATAAGTCTATTTACAGTCAGTCCTCATTCAATATATTCATCATTATTTTGTACAAATTATCGAATTTTTTGCTGATGCCATCCATATCATTCTTAGATCCGATCACAAATATATATATATTAAAGGAAATGATTAACCCTTCTCCTCTTGTATGCACAAAAATCAACAGAATCAATGTAATTAAAGCTCCTCTTATTCTTTTACCAATAATAATAAACGACAAAATATATAATAGAGAAAAAATAAAGATATCAGAGCTTTGAGACACAATTAGCTTTTTTTTTTTTTCTTACGAAGAAAACAATTAACAACATTCACAAGCACAAAGAAAGGGATAATAAAGAGAAAATATTAAGCATAACCTAGGAAAAACGACTTTTTTTTAAAAAAAAAAAACATCACTTCTTTTACATGTATTCAATTATAATACGACTTAAAATAAAACAAAAAAATATATTAGATATGAGCAAATAGTTCCCTTGATTGAGGGATTCATTAAAAAAAAAAAAATAAAAATAAAAAATATATGCAAAGGACGTGATAATGATAACGTACAAAACAAACATACTCTTCGCACAACGAAATGTAATGAAAAATTGGAAAAATAGAAGCAAATAACGACATTATATATCTGAAAAACTATATAATTATTTGCTACTTCTGAGAGAACTAATTATTTTGCTTAAGTCTTATATCGTTAAAAGTGTAGCTGATGAAAAGCAGCTGAAAAAAATACGAATTACTCATATTCCATCTACACCTTTATTAGGAAGGATTAACTGTAGAGTGCATCACCCATATTGAAAGAAATGGAAGCTATTAAACAGATGAATATCACAAAGGGTTCTTAGCTTTTTCTGTATTCCAAAAAAGGTTAGAACTAAAGTGGTTTGAACAAAAAACTGCGAAATTTAAGCATCAAACAAACAATAATTCAAATGTTCCGTTGAAACGGCGCTGAATACAATGGCATCATTGTGACATGGCTGCAAGAGATACTTAATGTTGATACCTACAAATTCAGCAAGTACTACAAGAAACGTACTCTAAAATTCAAAACTTTTCACAAAACTCAGATGTGCGTTATTTGAACAAGTAACTAACTCAAATATGAAACTTCGATATTGATTTCAAATAAGCAAAAAATCATTCTGGCCTACACGACGTTTCTTCAGCACAAAATCATGCGAAAACATGTGAAATTTTGAAAAAAAAAGACATACTGCTCCGAGGGAGCTCGAGTGAATAACTGAGAACAAGCAGAGCATATTCATCCGACAAATATATCAAACTTATATAATAAAAAACACATATTAAAATTAAACTTTAAAAATAGAAATAATACTAGAAATAGATTAAAAATCTAAAATCACCGGTTAATAGATACTGTACTCTGAAGCTTAGTACTGATGCAGATTCGACGAGAAAGGGAAGCGAGAAGAAAATTACATGGTATATTGCAAGTAGTATTAGAGAGAGAAGCAAAGGCAAAAAAGAATGAAAGACCATTCCTTTCAGTTTAATAAAAGCAATACATGAAAAAGGAAGATAAACCAAAAATGGTTCTAGTAATATTGATGCCGTATTTTTATAGCCCGTAGGAACCATAATAATTCAATTCGTCATCACCGTATAATCGAAAAATTATGCCCTCGATTGAATTATCTGCAAATTTGGTAACAAATTACTCCATTAACGATATTTTATATTGTATTAGGGCAAGATCATACTTGTAAGAGAAAACAAAACCATACGAAAGATTTGGTCAATGTAAATACTAAAACCAGTAATGGTAAGAGTCCAAAAACTCCATTATTTGCACTCTTAATACACATAACCATACAGCCATGCTTCGAATTACTCCCTATTCTCTCACTACTATATAATGCAACAATACAATATTAGAACATTCTCTAGCACTTTCTTAAAATCTACAAAGTTTTCTTTCAAGTACTGTATGTATGATAATGAAGTCAACCGTAGATTTCATTATGGAAAGGTTACAGCACTCATCTTCTTTTCATATTCCTCTTCAAAAGCTTTTTGTGTGGTTTTTTCTTCAAACTTATTGATAAGACACTTCACAGATTTACCACATAAAAATTGACTGACGTAGGATTATGATAATTTCAGCCAGTCACCAAAGAAGAAGTGCATAACAAATTTCATAACCGATAATTAATTAAATCAATTCTTCCAATTTCAGC